CCCTTGCTGGTTCCCTCTTCAGCTGCTGAGTCTCTTCCAACCTGTCTGAGTCCTTTCACCTCCCTTCCTTCCGATGGCAGTTCCCTGACACATACATATATACTATGTATATATATTACCATTTATATAAATAAATACTATGGCCTTTAAAATGTGTTTGTGGGAGGAGAGGGTTATTGGTTTGTTTTTATTATGTATTTTGCATTCTCATTTTGTGTTTTTATGTCGTGAACCTGTCCTGTGATCTTTGGGTGAAGGGCTGCATACAAATCTAATAAAAAATGAAAAATATTTAAATCAGCAATTTAAAAAAAATATATATCTAAAATACGGGTGTGTGATTTTTTGTTTTTTAAAAAAACTAGATTAAAACATCCCACCCTCTCAAAAAGGCCATAGATAGTTAAAAGCCAAAGACCTGATAGTTAAAAGCCAAAGACCAGGTCATTTCATATGGAGAGAGGCGGTACTGTGGTCCTGAGCCATTTAAGGGTAAGGTTTTCAACCTTTCTGAGTCCATGGCTCCCTTAATCAACTACATTTTTTCTGTGGCACCCCTCAGGGGCTCAGTTATGTCACCCCTTGCCTGCAGAGCTGGCAGCCCCTCACCCTTTTTCGAACACCCTCCCTTGTGGAGTGTTCCCTCAGCCTCCTCTCCTCTCCCCTCTTCTTGGGAGTCCTCTGGGCAGCCTGGTCTCTGAAGTGGCTCCCCACCAACACCCCAAAGAAAGCTGCCTCCTAGAGGCACCATTTGCCTGCGGAGCTTGTAGCCAGGGCTGCTGCAATAAACAGCTGTGCAAGCCTTTGGGAGGCAGGGATGCAAGAGGGCGTCAGAGGAGGGAGGGGAGGAAAGAGGGACAGAGGCCAGTGTTGCCCATGGCACCCCTGACCATCTTTCAAGGCACCCAAGGGTGCCACGGCACACTGGTTGAAAACCACTGGTTTAAGGCTTTATAAGTCAAAACTTTGAATTAAGCCCAGAAACTAATTGATAGCCAGTGCAGTCAAGCCAGCAACTCAGATTTTTCCTCCGTCCTTAACTATGGCAGTGCGTGGCGCCCATCCACAGCTCCGCTGCCTCAACTGCTTTGTCCTGGCTGGAATGTCTTCCAGAACAGTGATACTTCTTGCCTGCCCATAGGATGGAGAGAGCGTAAGTAGAGCCCAGCTGATGGATCAAATCAGTGGCCCAGCAGGTCCAGCATCCAGATACCCATGGGAAGCTGACAAGTGGTGCCTGAGCTGTGTTCGAAACTCCCACTGTTCTAGGCTCATTTTGCAACAGGGTATTTCATTAGAAGGGACGCGGGTGGCGCTGTGGGTTAAACCACAGAGCCTAGGACTTGCCGATCAGAAGGTCGGCAGTTCAAATCCCTGCGACGGGGTGAGCTCCCGTTGCTCAGTCCCTGCTCCTGCCAACCGAGCAGTTCGAAAGCACGTCAAAGTGCAAGTAGGTACTGCTCCGGCGGGAAGGTAAACGGCTTTTCCGTGTGCTGCTCTGGTTCGCCAGAAGTGGCTTAGTCATTCTGGCCACATGACCAGGAAGCTGTACACCGGCTCCCTCGGCCAATAAAGCAAGATGAGCTCCACAACCCCAGAGTCGGTCACGGCTGGACCTAATGGTCAGGGGTCCCTTTACCTTTACCTATTTCATTAGAGCGAGCAGTTTCTGAGTTCTGGGCACAGTATTGCACCTAAAATTTCAGATTAAAACTGCAGAGTGGAAGGAAAGGAGGACCTTTTTCCTTTCTCCCCACTTCCAGCTACTCTCTGAAGACTGGAGAAGAAACCCTCTTAAGAATATTATGGGGGTGGACAGCAGAAGGGGTAGACCATGGGTAGGCAAACAAAGGCCCAGGGGCCGGATCCGGCCCAATCCCCTTCTTTATCCGGCCCGCTGACGGTCCGGGAATCTGCATGTTTTTACATGAGTAGAATGTGTCCTTTTATTTAAAACGCATCTCTGGGTTATTTGTGGGGCATAGGAGTTCGTTCATATTTTTTTCCAAAATATAGTCCGGCCCATCACAAGGTCTGAGGGACACCGGCCCCCTGCTGAAAAAGTTTGCTGACCCCTGGACTAGACCATGTGAAATATGAGCATAATATTTTAGCTGCAGTTCATTCGTTTTCAGCTTTGTTACATGAAAAAAGCACACCTAGACATTCCGCTGTTGCGCCCGTAACCTGGGTTTAAGGTGCCGTTTAGCTCCTAGCTTTCATAACTCAGTTTCTAACACTGCGCCTGATCCCTCTCCCCTCCTGCGTTTTCCAGAAACTAGTATTCAGAAGCCTTACTGACTGTGGAGGCTGAGCGGAACCATCACGGCTAGTAGGCATTGATAGAAGTTTGTGTTCCTGTGTGCATGAACCTTTCGCTTTTTCCTGGCTGGAATGTAGCTTACAGCACCAAAGTTCAGAGTCGTTTTTAAGCAGAGCTTGGATAGCCATCTGTCATGGATGCTTTAGCTAAGATCCCTGCATTGCAGGGGGTTGGACTAGATGACCCTTGGGGTGACTTCCAGTTCCACGATCCTTGCTCCGCCCACTTCTGCCTCTGGCCCCGCCCACCCCTGGCATGTGCCCCTCCCCCAGAAGGTTGCTGATAGGGGACCGTGGCTCCTGGACTAACCAATTTCTCGCCCTTGATTTAGAGACGTTCTGTAATTCCTGGATGTAGGCAACATGCTTCTGAATCATGTTTAAAGCCCCCTTCCCCAGGATCCTAAGAACTGTAGTTTGTGAAGGGCGCTGGGAACTAGCTCTGCAAAGGGAGAACTACAGTTTCCGGAAGCCTTTGCAAGGGAAAACTTACTTTAAATGTGCACAACCATAGTCAGTACAATCAACCCGGTCTCAAAGCCATTTTCCTGGGCGTTGGGAGGTTGTTGTGGGTTTTCCCCCTTGCAAACCCCTCCTTTCTGGCTCCCCGTATCTTCGCCTCCCGCCGCACCCTCGCATCTCATCCTTCCCCCTTCCTAATGATAAAATCATACGAAGCCGTTTACAGCGTGACAGTCGGCCAGAGAGGGTTTCTTTAAACTCCAGGAGCTCACAATTAGGCAGCGCTGCAGCTGACATGCTGACAGGCTCACGCTCTCGGAGTTGGTGGTGTGGGGAAGGGGGACGCGAGAGCGGGGTGGGGGCGGGGAGAGCAGAGCAGAGCAGAGCACAGAAGAGGTGGATGTGGCAGGCAGCCTCTGCCACATTCTCACGTCCCCCACCCGCTCCCAAGTCGAAGCGCCGTTTGGAATTTAATTTAGGAACGAGTGCGAAATCTGGCTGCTGCATCAGGGACGGAGAAGTCTGTCTCTCCCCCTCCCTCGGCCCGGCCTGCCTCTTGCACTTGTTAGCAGACATCTGTACGCAAAGCATTTCCGTGACTGGGGCCAGCAGCATGTTCCCCCCAGGAAGGCATCCTCCGTTAACGTTTCCCTGTGCGCGGTCGCAAGCGGTTTTAGGAACGTGGCAAGCTGGCAGAGTCAGACCATTGGTGCATAGAATCACAGAGTTGGAAGGGATCCCGAGGATCATATAGTCCAGCCGCCTGCAATGCAGGAATATGCGGCTGTCCCATAAGACAGAGGGTTTCAACCAGTGCGGCCCTGGCATCCTGGGGCGCATGGAATGGTAGCCAGTTTGCCCTGGGCAGCACCAGCCCCCACCCCTCCTTCCTTCCCTCCCTCCCTATGATGCCCTCTCCCGTCTCCATGTGCAGAGACATGTGAATAGAATTAGAAGAGAATAGAATTTATTATTTATACCCCGCCCATCTGGTTGGGTTTCCCCAGCCACTCTGGGCGGCTTCCAACAGAGTATTAAAATACAGTGGTCTGTTAAACATTAAAAGCTTCCCTAAAGAGGGCTGCCTTCAGATGTCTTCTAAAAGTCTGGTAGTTGTTGTTCTCTTTGACATCTGGTGGGAGGGCGTTCCACAGGCCGGGTGCCACTACCAAGAAGGCCCTCTGCCTGGTTCCCTGTAACTTGGCTTCTTGCAGTGAGAGAACACCCAGAAGGCCCTCAGAGCTGGACCTCAGCGTCCGGGCAGAACGATGGGGGTGGAGACTCTCCTTCAGGTATACTGGACCCAAGGCCATTTAGGGCTTTCAAGGTCAGCACCAACACTTTGAATTGTGCTCGGAAACATACTGGGCAGCTGTTTGTTTCAGCAGCCCTGGCTACAAGTTCTCCAGGCAAATGGGGTCTCTGGGCCTGGCCGGGGGTGGGGGGGCTGGTTGCCTGGAGCTGAAGCAAGCGGTCAAGGATTCCCAAGGAGAGGGGACAGGAGAGGAGGCCAAGGGAATCCTCCCCAAGGGAGGGTGTTCAAAAAAGGAGTGAGGGGCTGCCGGCTCTGCAGGCAAGGGGTGATCTAACTGAGCTCCTGAGTCTCGGGGCACGTTTCCCCACAGGGGAGCCGCAGAAAAGATGTAGTTGGTCAAGGGAGCCGTGGGCTCGAAAAGGTTGCAAACCTCTGCCATACGGGGATCAGAAGCACCCCAGTATTGCCCACACTGACTGGCAGCAGCTCTCCATGATTCCAGGCAGGAATCTTATCCCAGCCCTACCTGGAAGTGCCAGGGATTGAACCGGGAACCTTCTGCACACAAAGCAGATGCTCTACCATTGAACTACAGCCTATCCCCTAATGGAAAGCAATTACAGGCTCAATATATAGCAGCCTAGGCTGTGTATCACTCTAGGCCAGTATTGTCTGCTTTGACTGGCAGCTGCTCCCCAGGGTCTCAGTCAGGGGTGAAAAAGATCTGTCCATTTATGCTCCTCTTGGCTTTCTCCCTTTTCCAGTTTTCCGTATTTTGCAGCGATCATCATTTTTTAAATTTTAATCTTCCTGAAAACTCGCCAACCTCGCATCCCCCTGTGTTGCCTCAATTTGGCCCTTGGATTTCACCCTTGCTGAGGACAGGGACCTGTCTTCTCTTTGCTTCTCCTGCCCTGTTAGAGTACCTTGAGCTGTACCTTTACAACAGAAAGAATAAGACTCCTGGGATAGCTCAGTTGGTAGAGCACGAGACTTTTAATCTCGGCGTCGTGGGTTTGAGCCCCACGTTGGGCAAAAGATTCCTGCATTGCAGGGGGTTGGACTAAATGACCCAGGGGGGTCCCTTCGAACTCGACAATGCTGTGATTCTACCACTGGTCCATCTGGCTCAGTAATAATAATAATAATAATAATAATAATAATAATAATAATAATTTATTATTTGTACCCTGCCCATCTGGCTGGGTTTCCCCAGCCACTCTGGGCAGCTTCCAAGAAAGATTAAAAATACATTATTGCCTGCACTGGCTGGCAGCAGCTCCCCAGGGTTTCCAGCAGGGGCTCCTTCCCAGCCCTCCCTGCAAATCCCACATGGGATTGGACCTGGGGTGCAAAGCAGATGTTCTAACACTGAACTGCAGCCCTTCGCCATCAGAAGAGCAGCGTTGAGGAAAAGGCCTAAGCTGTGTTGCTGGTAGAAGCTGCCGTAACCTGGTTTCAGGGTGGTCAGAGGCTGGAATGCTGGCAGACGCGGATGGCGTGTGGATGGCTTTGCAGCTGGCACATCAGAGCAGCCTGTGGTTAGCAAGAGCTTTGCATTCTGGAGCAACATCTTTGGAGAGAGGGAGACACAGAGAGAGAGAGAGAGAGAGAGAGAGAGAGAGAGAGAGAGAACCGATTGCGGAGGGATGGCTCTGGCGCCACTATATTAACGGTGAGATCTCCAGGCAGATCATTGGCAGGCAATGGCACGTATTATTTTTAGTTTACAAGACCCTGTTGAAATCCCATCCGAAAGAGCAGTAAGCAGCTGGAGAAAAGACAGCAAGATTGCCAATTTGCAGGATGGCGGTTTGGTTGGTGCTGTCGGGTTTTGCTTCTCGTTTCTCGACACCTGGGAGAACATCTTCAAAGCTCAACTGCTGAAGCTGGAGCAGTCGGACAGTTACTGTCCAGCACGGACAGTAACCTGGTTTCTCTGTGTGGCCTCCCTTGTCCAAAAGGAGGTGAAAAGTCCAGAGTAAAGGGGAGGAAATGCAGTCTGGGTGCAGCTAGAGCACCTCCAAAATCAGGAGCCATTCACCCAAAGTTCATTCAGGGCATTGCTCAGAAAAGAGAGGTCCCGTATTTCTCATGACCCAGCGTTGAAGCTGGAGTGTGTGGGGAGGTGGCAGGGCATAAGCAGGTTGAATGCAGGAGCTCATGAGCCCATAAGGCAAGGCCCAAGCTAGATGGTTGTCCAGGCAAAAGATCCAAGTATTTTAAAGCAGGCCAAGTAACAAAGAGCCAATAGGCTACCTGGAAGCAGAGCCATGCTTGGAAACCTACATCTCCACATTCCTTGGTAGGAAACAGCATCTGGGGAGCATGGGATTAGATTTCCCCTGCCTCCTGAACTGAGTCGGGAGGCAGGGGAAGCCACACATCCCATGCTCCCCAGCAGGAAATGCCACCCGTGAGCATTACTTCTGATTAAGGAGAAGCTTTATCCCACCCCTAGTAAACCCTTCCCATTGCGAATTAACCCCTCCCCACTTTGCAAAGGTGAGATTTGTATTATTATTATTATTATTAATAATAATAATAATAATAATAATAATAATAATAATTTATTATTTATACCCCGCCCATCTGTCTGGGTTTCCAGAGCCACTCTGGGCTGCTTCCAACAAAAGATTAAAAATACATTAAAATGTCAGACATTAAAAACTTCCCTAAACAGGGCTGCCTTCAGATGTCTTCTAAACATCAGGTAGTTGTTTATTCCTTTGACATTTGATGGACGGGCGTTCCACAGGGGGTGCCACTACTGAGAAGGCCCTCTGCCTGGTACCCTGTAGCTTTGCTTCTCGCAATGAGGGAATCGCCAGAGGGCCCTCGGCGCTGGACCTCAGTGTCCGGGCAGAACGATGGGGGTGGAGACGCTCCTTCAGATATACGGGGCCGAGGCCGTTTAGGGCTTTAAAGGTCAGCACCAACACTTTGAATTGTGCCCGGAAATGTACTGGGAGCCAATGTTTGGGCACTGTGTGTGTGTGTGTGTGTGGTAACAGGGAAGGAAGGCTGGCTAACAGTGGTTGGCAAATCCCATTTCAAACTGGGCCCAAATTTGGCCAAGTTTGTGCCCAGCACAAAATGGAAGTGAAGTTCTTCCACGGGGGGGGGGGGTGTTGGAAGCAGCCATGCTTCTGAATACCAGTTGCTGGAAACCACGGGAGTAGAGAGTGCTCTTGTGCTCGGATCCTTCTTGTGGGCTTTCCACAGACATCTAGTTGGCCACTGTGAGAATGGGATGCTGGACTAGATGGGGCATTGGCCTGATCCAGCGGGCTCTTCTCTTGTCCTCATTATGGATCCTGGGAAGCAAAGTGGCTTGTGACATTATCTCATCCGTAGAGGCATCTTCTAGACCAATGAGATACCCACTGAGTAACATGGCATGTACATCCATGACTGATCTGAAATTCAGCCCCACATGTTTTGAGTCATGGGCGGATGCAGAACACATGTTGTCATGCAACCTTGAAGAAAGGCCTCTTGACCGTTACGATTTACTTGTCATGAAGGTTGGGGAAAGGAAAGGGCAACATACACATGTCTTCCCCTAGAGATCTCTTTTCCTCTGCCACAAGTAGCAGCCCTGTGGTTGAAAGCTGAGATGTGCGTGTCTCACCCCATAACTTTTTTTTTTCTTTTAAACCCGCATGTTTTCTGCCTTGCATTAAAACTGAATGCCTGTGCTAACATTTCTGAGAGTTGCTCTCTCCTCCTCCTGAGCTTTCGGGTCCAAGACAGGAGCTGGGGGGGGGCGGGCAGCCCCTGGGATTTTTCTTTTCTTTCCAGGTGGCCAAGCAGCTCTAGGGCTCAATCCCCCCCCAAAAAAAAACATGTCCTCCTTCAGACAAACTCACGTGTGAGCCAGGAAACGCAGGACCCCTAAAGGAAGTCCTAGCAGGCCTCTGAATCCGTTCAAACTTTGAGAAACGTTTCTGTAACCCCTGGTAATTATTTGAAGGAGTTCTCCAGGCAGCCAATCTGCGAAGCCAGCTGGGGAAAGACTTGACAAGGATCAGCAGACTAACTGCCGCAATTAACTAAGGGGGGGGGGGACGACACACATTAGGTAGTAGGTTGGGTACCTCAGGTTCAGGGGCCAGTGGACCTCCAGGCCTCTGCATCTGACTTTCAGGGCTCAAACCATCACCCCAGGACATGCTACTCACCGATCCTATACACCCCAAAGCTCAGAGGGAGCCCTGTGAGTTTGCTTCCCCTCCCTCTGAAAGTTGGTCTGAATTTTCATGGACGCACGCAACAAATTAGCATATGCAAATGGTATGCCAGTCTTCGGCATGGGCCTGCGCCCAGGGGTCTTTTTAAGAGCCCGGCACCCGCTCTCCACATTCCTTATTCTCTTTCTGTCTCTCTCCTGTCGGCTGGTCTTCAGACTCCATAAGAGAGCAGGGGCTATCGATTTCCGTTGCGAATGCAATCGGGAGATAGGCTAGCAATTTCCCGGTAATTGTGGGAGTGGAGAGAGAGATGAGCTGCAGGATGGAGCTTGTGCCTGGGGTGGGGGTAGCGGCAGCAGCAGCAGCAGCAGCATAAGCCGGCTTGCATGCACAAATCAACTGGAGCCCGAGGGTTTTCCACCTCTGGAGGAAAGATTTTAACCTCCCTGCCATAGGCAGTTGACTCAGTGCTGTTAAAAGATTGGCTAGGGAGCAGCCGAAAGGTAGGCGCGTCTGCTCAGGACCCAGCTGCGGCAAGGCCAAGGACTGAGCCACAGGGCCAGTAGGAGGCAGGGGGAGGGAGGGAGTCACCTCAACAGGATATCTGCTGTAGGCAAGCCTCAGGGGATGACCTTCTGGACCCCAACCAGTGATGGGGGGTGGTCAGGCAGCTCATGTGAAAGCAGGGATGAGAGATACCATCCCCTGTCCAGCTCCTTTCTTTTGCGCATTTCTCTGCCTTCTGTTCTTCCTGAATTCTGGTTTGGCAAGGAGAATTCTGCAAATCCATGCCGGAACTGGAGCACGGCTGGATCTTCCATAAAACTGGGCTGCTTTGCATCTGTTCCCCACCACGTTACTGATCCGTATACAGTGGTACCTCGGTTTCCGAACATAATCCGTTCCAGAAGACTGTTCGAGTTCCGAAATGTTCAAAAAACAAAAATTCAATATGGAAGCCGCGTGGCATGTTCTACTTCCAAGGCATGCTTGAAAACTGAAGCATTTACGTCTGGGTTTACAGCATTCGAAAACCAAAATGTTCAAAAATGGAGACGTTTGAAAACTGAGGTACCACTGTATGTGCGTTGTTAAAACGTTGCAAAAGCAATAAATGTGTACCATCTCATTGAGATTCCTCCCCGTGCAGAGCAGGTGCGCCTGCGCGCTCCTTTGTATGGGTTCAGCACCACAGAAAAATGCAACCTGGGTTTTTCAATGGTGTGTACCATCACATCAAGTCGTATGCATCGTCGCTCTGACGTTCCTCTTCAGGCAGTGTTTCGCTGGTGTGCCCTTGCGCATGGGTGAAATGGCACAGAAAAAGCATCTTGGCTGAAATGGTGCGTACAGTCACACTGAAGAGCAAGATAGTGTCCTCTACTTGGTACCCCAGATCACAAGTTTGTTCTGGGGTTGCAGGGCATGCTGTGTTGCATACAGAGCTCTGTCCTCCAATCGAGGGGGATGAACAGCCTCCCTTCCGCCTCAGGTGGTTGCCTCACCTTGCCTAACAGTAGAGCCGGGTCTTGCCTCTATCTCCTTTCACCCTGTACCCATTTTTGGTTAAATTGAATTTGGGGGACAAGAGCGATCACACGTTTAAGTAAACGCAGAGGATCTGCGTGCTCATTGGTTACCTCATGACACAGAGGGATTGGGAGCCTATGACAAGGATGGGGAACCTGTGGCCCTCCAGACAGGACTCCAACTCCCATCTGCCTCAGCTAGCAAAGCCGGTGACCGGGGGTGATGTTACCCATAGTCCACCCCTGACCTAAGGCCTACTAGTCTTTCTCTGCATTCAGTTCTTGGGATAGAGCAGGGGTAGGCAACCTGAGG